AATACGAAGAGCTGCTTCTGTCAGAAGCCTCAATAGACGCTTCCCCAAGAGACCACGGGTAACTTCATAATCATCCCCACGAGCCTATTGATTGAGTCGATCAGGAATGGGTAGATCTCTCACGAGCTGACCAACTAAAGATATTAGTTGATGATACTGAGTTCGAGAACTTGCCTCTCAATCGTATACCCGGCCCGGATACTTATCAATTCTCGTTCCCCGTGTTGATACCTCCAAGTATGCCTCTCCATAATGTTTGGTAATGGAAAGCAAAATGGAGCAGAGCGGTTATCTCCCGTACAGGTACATTATCATATGCTCCTATCCGTCAAGTGATTGTAACAACCCCAAGGATTCTGAGTACATTCTGGCATCGTTCCCCTTACCTGGCTTTGAAGTTGGTCAAGTCTGTGGAGAGGTAGGTACTTCAAGCAGCCACGTTCACAACCCCATCAGGAATGTGATCAAATACTGCTGTACGAGGACAGCATCTGGAGTGGAGCATCCTCGTTCATCGTGTCTCTTATGATCCTCTTAACATGTTCCTACCATGTGTTCTGTCTCATTGTGTGATCTGCTAATCCCGATGTGGTGTTCTATAGAAGTGAACGAGGACCTCGTTCTGAGGCTAGAATCGCTACATCCTGCACGCATGGTGAGTTCATATTAAGCAAGCAGGTATAAAAATAAGTTGTAGATTGTGAAGGCGGAACTAATGTACCGACTGTTTCAAATACATTATCTCATAATAAACCCTGGTATTCCCGAGTGATATGTGTTGCAATATGTTCTATATCCGCAGGTTCATAGCCCACAAGCATTTGAGTTACGAACTTGATAGAATTGTGCGACGAGCGAATGCCCTTGTATGCCACGTTATCACTCGTTATCAATTGTTTGCACATTAGCGATACATGGCTTGTCTTGTCGCCCCTCGAAGGCCGCACCGACTTCCAAACACTAAACCGGAGGTAAGTCAGAAACGTTAACACTCATGACATGAAAAAACCAACAGTTATCATAATGCTTCGTTAAATTGTTGGATTGGAGATGTGTAAACCTGAGGATAGCGTTCTATATTCTCCTCGTCAACTAAGCGCTACATCAGTCGTTGCTGGACCAATGGCATACGCCTCTTGAGCACGCTCTACCAAGTATTTACACCTATCATCTACAGTGTGTAACTCAGACCATTCCGATAACCACAAAGGGATGACCTAAATCATAACAGATGACTACGGAACGGATCAGTAGGTGGATACCTTCCAACCCAAACTGTGAAGGTGTCGTACTTTCGTCAATGAGTTGCCAATCATAACTCGCGTATGACCTAACAGAAGTTCCCACCAATGCAGAGCATGATGAATACCAAGAAGATATACCCAGGCGAATGTTGTTATGTGGGTCATCAAGGGTCGATTGATGTTGACCTCGAGTGATAGGACTGTACCAGCGTAGTTCATCTTCCTCCTTTATACATACTATTGCAGTACCTACATAAGTTATGATGCTAGTAAGCGGAATGACAGACTCCTCCATACGTTTGCCTGCTTGTTGGTAGTTCAGGGATGACCCTAAAACACTAGGGTTGGATGATGATGATGTACTATCAGGTTGATTAGGTGATGTAATCATATCTAGATGGTAGACCTAATAATCATCATATCATCTTCGAGTGTATATCGGAGGGTAACCTCTGCAAGCTGGTTGCCAAGACTTAGTGGCCATCCGAGAGCATTGATTGCCTCATTCAACTGCATACACGTATCAGAGTGTAAGAAGTTGGTCCGATCCCTCTCTTGTGATGCATACCTAGACAAGGTATCCGTTAAGATGAATGGTATTATTACCAAACGAATGATGTATTATCAGCGAAGAATGCTTTAACATCATCATTCTGAGTGAGATATTTGCGTACAGTCGGAGGACCCTCTACAGCAGCACAGAGGTGTATCTACAAGTAGTCCGACCAATAGGTAGTGCAGACCTCATCCCATCACCTCGAATGCCCGTATCCAGTCGTTTGTCGTCATATTGCTACTATAAGCACTACTATTTATATTTGCAGCATTAATCAGCTCTTCAACAGCCGTGATGAACTTTGGTGGGAAATGCCTTTGGCGACTAAGGACGTTGAGTAGGTCTACCAATAACCTGATAGCAATCCTCTGTTACTGAAGTAGGTAGAATAAGATAAGACCTCGGATGTTGTGATATGTCAGTAGGAATAGGATTATCCCCATCTATACGACTGTCTTTATTTATAGGTGGTCTACTTGATGGTAATGCTCTCTCTATTAGTTGTACCAACTCTTGAGAATAGAATCCTAGATCAGTAAGGGGCAGGGCAAATGCTGCTATATACTGTCGGTATTGTATTGGCATTATATTGGGAGTAGTAGTTTTGTTCTTCTTGTTGTTATCATCATCAATGAACAACTCCTTATTAATATACCACGAATACCACACAGTAAGACGCTTTAGGAATGTAGCATCATGTATCCGTAAACCTCGGAACGCTCTAACCTGAGTATTCAATTCTAAAGTATGTTATCGGCGTCAAGTATTACTAGATGTATGATATCTGTTGGTGATTGTACAGTAAGGGATACCGCTGAGCAACGACTCATCAATATTGACACACAGGTAGTATTATACCTACAAAGGGGGGATATGACCCTAGACAATAGGAATACTATTACTACCATTCTAATATTGCCATACTGCGTAGAACTGATGTTAGTTGAGGTAGAGTATCCAAGTCATGTACTCCCTTATTGAGAGCTGACATAAGAGTAGGTTGGAGTATGATGAAGGGGGAATATCTGGTGTTAAGTAGGAGTGTGTAATAGTATATCTATCCCTAGTAGTAATACATCCTCTCCTCATTATCCTGCTCTAGGAAGGGTAATAGGGATGTCCTATTATCAGCCAACAACTTTAGTAGAGTTACCAATGCTGATGTATCACAATATTCAATAACTGGTATAAGAGCCTAATCATGAGGATGACTGTGGAGGTTAATGGAAGAAGGACTACCCTCATGGTCTTGTTCAATACTCCTTTATTGATCATTACATCTGGTCCACTACTCAATATTGATGATAGTATATTAAGTACGTGTCGATGATCTCGTGGCGATATACCTAGTATGGCTTAGAATAATCATCATATAGCTGGCACTACTACTACTATTACTACTACTATCATTGAATACCAATGCCGATAGATCATCTACACTATCATCATGTAGCATATCACTAGAAGAAGCGGTAATAGCTGCTGCCAGTAGGTTCATCTCTGAAGTAAGCTGATCTCACTAACGACACGAATAATGTAGTACCTTACTTTGGGGTAAAGGAGCGTTGATGATACTACTACGTGATGATACTATCATAGTAGATAGTACCTTTTGAGGATCCAAGCAGTCACCAAATACAGGCTTAGCCCTGAGTGCTCCTACGAAGGGATACTTATCAAGTACGATTAGGATGATGATGATAAGGAGTACTTGCTAGAGTAATGGTAGCATTAGCAGGACTCCCTCTAACTAATACTCCTTCATCTATATTCTTGTTATCTTTAATGAAGTCCCTTAATAACTGTGCTATGCCAATCTCTGGTTTAAGATGGGTAGGAGTAGGTTGAGGATGGGCTAATGTATTCTCATAGAGTGTACCTTCGGATGATGATAACAACATATAACGTGTTGGTAGTAATACATAGTAGTTGCACCGCCCTCTTTAGTGATAGATCTGTTGATATGTCCTTCCTTAACCTATCATACTCTACATCATCATTAGTGTTGAATGCTGCTTCCAATGCCTCCTTTAAGGCATTACGCTCACTAGATGATAGGGGATCCGTACCTATTAATATTGATGAGCATTATGAGCAACTCCTTCATCATCATCATTACTACTACCATAAGATGAGTATCCTACAGTTGATAATACATCTACCAATGATGATAGGGATAACTCCTTACCTCTACTACCTGATGGGGGGAAGGATACCTCTATAAGGATCCTAGAGTTGGTATTACGTATAGCATGTAATAGAGCAGGCATTAGCTCTACTGATGGTGTTATACTGATCATAGTAGTGATAGTAGGAGTAGCATTAGCAACAATACCACTCCTATGATGAACTATTGATGCTAGATACAGTTCAAGGACGTGTGCTAAATGCTGATGAGGTAGGACATTGAGGGTATTAGCAAGTACCTATGGCAACTACTATGCCCACTACTATAACCCATAGTATGACCTTATTCTGCATACCATCTAGTATAGATGAAGCATAGGGTATAAGCCTCTTATCGATACCCTTCTCAGGTGTATTAAGTCTATTGTATACACTAGATAGAGTCTCTATCAATATCCCAACATCACTATGAGTGAGCCTAATGTTATTGATAATAATACTACCAGTAATAGGCTTGGGTATTATTACTCTCTCATCCTGTTTGTAACCTCCCTCACAGAAACCTCTAGTAACTGCTGTACTTTAGGATGATCTAGTCCTGTTGGGCGTAATAGTATCTGCATACTAGTGAACACCTTAATGAAGGGGTCTGCTTACCACATGCAATAGTTTACAATGGTGTGGTATGGTGAGTGTATACCCCTGATGATGGGTTCGATTAGTGTATTGATAATGGTCACTATCCTGGCCAGTTAAATTGGGCATTACCAAATCTAGTATAGGTGATAATTGATTGAGTGAGTATCCAGTCTCTATAGCCTATATAGCCGAGTATAGATAAGCAGCTCAGTAGTAGATATCAGTACCCATTCAACAGCAGCTACAGCCGAATCTACTGTGATGTTGCCTCGATTCTCCTCACCATGCTCATATCCAACAATAACCGATAATACTCTCGACAACTTCTTCATTATAGCCTATCTTGATAGTGACCTATTATTGCTAGTATTATAATTATTACCTCATCGAGCCTAAGAATAATATCCTTATTTTTGAGTATCCTTACACCTCTCCTAAAGCTCAATATATGACGTATACTTATCTAAAACTATCATCATACCAAACCACACTCAATTACAATTAATATTACCTCATTACTGTTATTAGTATCGAGTAGCCTATATATAAGCTTCTGTAATAATATGTTATTATCCTTTCCCAAGTACTTGGTACTCATGGTATTAGTTTGGTTATGAGCTAATGTTTGAACGATGTCGCCAACCTCAGTAACAACAGTATCCAACGACCTACTACCTACTATTACCATCATTATCACCAATAGTATTACCTATCCCTATTGTATGGGTTAATAAAGGGGTATACCATCCGTAATAGTTGTATATGAGGTTCCTGTCCGCCCTCATCAGTAGGTAGAGAGCTAAGAGCCTTAAAGCATGTTATGGCGTCTTCTGAGGTCATACTCCAACCTTCTGATGATGATGACACCTACATTGATATACCACCGTATAGATTCAAGAAAGCCTTCTACTACCTGTAGTAGTATATCAGTGAGGATAGCCTTAACATGAGGTAGGGTTAATAAGGCCTTTGTATGGGGTAAGGAGTTTAAATCTGTTATCGATGTGATAACCCGTGATAGGCATATCATGCTATCAATAGCAGTAGACCTAGAGGATAATAATGATGTTGCTGCTAGTAATAGTATTACGATGTTGTTGTTGTTGGATGTATAGTATATCTCAATAGAGATCCCTTCACATCATCATTAGCCTGTATCCTCCATGAAGCCACAGATGATGTATTCCTACTACATACCACCACTCTAGGCCTGACTATGTAGGATCTCAGGAGGGACATTACACCAAGGGCTATGGGAGCAGTCGACTCGGCCGTTGAGTATGATGATATTTACAAAGTGCGCAACACTTTAGCGCTCGCCATGATGATCGATTGATATATCCGACGTACCCGTCGCGCCGCAGATTCCGCCCGGTAGCGATGCGACATGACTGATGACAAGACTGTGATACCTCGTTTGCTGGCTCTGAGGAGTATAAAGTATAATAGTAATAATATCAAGTATAGGTATAATGGTGTAAGGTATGTGTAGGTCCTAGGAGAGTATTGCCTCCCCATCCTACTAATAGTACACTACCTAAACCCACATCACAACAAAGGTATACACAATACACCAATAACTGTCATTATACACCATATTAGATTGATTAATACCGAACGGAGATTAACTCCAAGGAAGGTTCTATGTCAGAGGTGATAGCAATGATGAGCATTTAGTACAGCAGTCCATCATTTATAGAAGCTACTCGAGTAGACGTCCTGTTGAGGGAAAGACCGTTACAGGGTCGAGTAGGAAGGTACAGGAACAGACTAGTGTAAAGCAGTTGACAACTACTACCAAGTAATAGCAACCATACCTATGTATTGTGCATGAGTATTACAGACGTCTTAAGCCTATCAGTGGTGATAATAAGGAGGGTGTAGCGGCGGCTAGTGTGGTACAGCATTGGTTGAGGCAGTTAGTACTGGACATAGCACTTAGGGGGCGCATCAATGCTGTAATGATGAAGTGATCTATTCCTAGGGTCATGGGTTGCTATCAGATACCTGCTGCTGTAAGGCATGCTGATAATCTGCCAGGTAGAGGAGATGTATCACAAGGGTAATGATGATACGGTGATGATAGGGGTTAGGGTATTGTTTTAGAATGGTGGTATCATCGTGTAGTGAGTTAGATAAGGTAGATGATACTAGTATAGTGGCATCGAATAGTAGAGGGAATAGTGAAGGATTGAGGTTATTGACTAAGCTAGGAGGAGATGGACTAGCTCTCAGTGTTAAGGATAAGAAGGTACTCCTTCGTGGTCTTAGGGTTGTATATACACCGTGCCTTAGGCAGTAGTTGATAGACTTAGAAGGGTATTAGATAATAAGAAGGATGGAGTTTGTGATGATAACCAGCCAGAGGTGTTGGAGGTAGTATCATGAGTATACTGCCTTATGGTAGTGCCGAGTAAGGTATTAAAGGATACACCACAGAAGCGTATCATAGTGGATAAAGCTAGTCAGGAGGACACTAGGAATAGAGATAAGGGCAAGATGCCTGATAGAAC